GCATATCAGGCGCTAGCCAGACCACGTAACGTTTCTATAGCGAGGGAGCGCAAGGCCAGCCAACACCTCAAGGCAATAGCGGCCGCGTATAAAAACGTGAAATATCATGGGCATTTTCTTATCGCGAGACCAGCCATATGTAAAAACGAATAAAATTGTAGTAAGTTGCGCCGAGGGAACACACACCGCCGTGGTCGCTTCAGGCCACCGGACCGAATCTGATGCGTTTGTTTTTGGTGAATAAATTTAGACATAAATCGTAGCCTCCTGAAAGCACATATTTCTCGGGCAGCCCCTTGCCGCTCGAATTTTCTTTACCCGGGTGTCGAACGAAATATAGCAAGGAAGAAGAACCGGGAAACTGTATACTGTGTACTACTTAGGCTCTTTTGCAACTTAATTATTATTTTTCGTTCAATTTTAAGTGATTCTCATATTCAAGTTCATTCCTTCCGCAAATGGAAGCTTGTAATTTATTTGCCATACTTTAAATGATTTTTTAATGTACGTAAAGCACAGTGGATTGACAATATTTAAATAAATCTGTGATATTTTTCCACAAGAACAATAATTAGTGGTTAACAGTGAAGGAACCAACAATTCACGTATTTCACTTAAAACAAACCGTGCACGCAATTTAAACGGCGAAGCAAAACGAAACTATATAGCCTGGCTCGATGTTGCAGCATTCAAGGCCAACAGTTACCCCCACTCCTTCCTACCTTACCGACATCTCACGGCGTATAGTCTTATTATCGAACAGCCAAGTTCGCCTAACCAATTCCATTCAGACAAAAGGAAAATCGTACCGCACAAATTCAGCGAACTGTGCACCAACACACGTCTCTAACATTTCATATGCGCAGACTATATCTGCCGATTCGGGGAAGTCACCGTGTTTCGTGAAAAACGCCAGCATCGACGGCTTTTTCACGCTTAAGTTTCTGGCGTTCTCATCGGTGCAAAATGATACAGCAAATCGAGCGGATTAAATACAGCGGAACTCATCAACAAGGACTATAGCACAAGGCGGATAAATAGTGATTGCGTAATATCGCGCGAGCTGCGCGCGTGTAGAATTGCGTAAAAGCAAATATGCAATGGACTACCTGAACGTCCTGTATTGTACAATTGTCTCCGCGTTCTCCTCTCGCCGCGTTTCGCAGAAAATGCCTGCCTTGCATTTCCCGGCATTGTAACCACCCCGTTGCCTTCGGAGTATTGCCAGCCTCAACGTTTGAACTGCATTACCTATTATTGCTTATTGTTCACCGCTACCTTCCCGTTTCTCTTCTGTCGCTTCTCCACCTTTTTGATCAACCCTCTTTCCCCGTTTTTTTCTGCATCTTTCGCGCGTTTCCTCCGTCTCCGACCAACCCTCCGAATTTCACGCAGCGTTGCAGGTAACCCGGGAGCAACTGAACGAAGCTCGAAGCTGAACTGTTCGAAACGAAACGTGGTTAATAAGGTTAATTGCAAGTTAAGAGTCGCGACAAGCTTGGAAACACAGTCGAAAACTTAGCAGGTGTTTTGTCAAGTGTCTGAAGTCCATTCGAACGCGTTCGTTCGTTTCTGACGATACCTTTATCATTGAATGATCCTAAATCTTTCGAACCAAAGCTTCTCATCTTCGAGAGGAAAGGAGATTATTATTAACTGTAATATTGGTTAAAATCAACGATTTTCAATGTTTCAAACCGAGGCAGAATTTAGGTGAAGCTCTTTCTAGTGTTCGAGAGGGGGCTGAAAATGAAACGTGATTGATCTAACTCAAGAAGCGAATGATACGAGAAATATCGTGGAATCTGTGCTGGTGCGTTGCCTCGAACTCCAGAAATATCTTACCCTTTCCCACCCAGCTAGAACTCCTTACACGTCAGTTTCTCTTTCTCCTAGTTTCACCCCTTTCATTCGTGTCAATCCAGGGAAAAGCTGGGGCATTGTCGCGTTGAAATTGTGCGTAACTACGACAATAGTTCGGCAGAATCGGCAAAATTAATGAAAATTCACGCGGAACTTGGGAAGAAGGGGTGAAGAAAGGGATGAAATCCACGGCCGGGATCAGATACTTCAAATGAAGAAGGAAGACGAGAGGAAGGATCGGCTAATCGTGACAAATACTGATCCGGGATTGCCGAATTATAAACTAATGTCTTGAGGAAACTTTACCCCGAATGACTTTCTCCCCTTCTTCCCAATTACGAGGCCCGATTGCCCGTTTCACCAACGAACTGCCGCGTGTGCTACATAAATTCATTGTCTTTTCACTTATTGAACACCTTTTTACCCCATTTTACAGGTAGTTACTTAACATTCGTGTTTCGAGAAAAATATTTGACCCACTTTTCATCGATTGCACAACAAAGTTATCTAACGAGGCAAGGGAACATCCCCAACTCACCGATTTTGATCAAATTTACGTATGACGTAGTACTCGAAAAAATATTTAACACGTATTTTTTTTTATCGACAATCAATCATTTTCATTCCTGGAGAAAATTACCCTGAAAGTGAGGGTGTAAAAATATGTTTGCTGGAATATCTCGGAAATTATTAGAGACAGAGCAATAGTTTAAACGTAGAAATTGTGTATCTCTTAATGACGAATTCACCTGCACAGTTAGTTTTCAGAAAAATCCATTTGTTTAAATAATATATCAACAATTCGTACTTTTTCCTTCACTTTTCACGCAAGAACTTTGATTTAATAGTATTTCATTAATTACTCTAAGTTGGTGTATAACGGGAAACAAAGGCAAAAGTGGAAATGTAAGAGGGTAGCTGACGGTGTGGTTAAGGGACAAGCGGACAGTGGCAATGTGGCCCGGTCGACAGAGAAAGGAAATTGGATGATATTTCCCGCGACGATCAAACCTTATTGCCAATTGAAAGGGGAAAGTTCGCGGTACATTTACCAAGGAAATCAGCGGTAGCACGGCGAACCAGAAAATGGTTATCGCGATCTGGTGTAGTAAAAATTTCAAATTTTTATTCCACCAGATGTACAGATAGTTCGTACGAAAATAACGAACGAGATATGTCGGTAGGAAAAATATTGTAAATCTCGTGAAATACCTTGTCGATATGTACCTACATAGAGCAGCATCTGAAACAGAAAAATTTCCTTTTTATTAACCTTGGAGGTGGAAGAAATTTGGCAAACACTTTTTAAAGCTAATTTGGGAATTTCACAGACATTTAGTGGGTTGTACTAATATTTTTGCTAGCGAGCGATAATCGAGTCTCTTGGAATATAAAGAATTTGTAATAAATCATTTCCAAATATCTCAAAATTTCAGAGAAGGTAGAAAGTTGCCCCAAAAATGTATTTTTTCAATTTTACAAATTTTACTAAATAAGCAGAACTGTTTTTAATATTTTTGCCAATAAGCGATAACAGAGTGTCTTGGAACATCAAAAATTTTTATTAAATCACAAACGTTTCCAAATATCTGCCCAAAGAAATTTGCCCCAAAAATGTACTTTTCCAATTATACAAATTTTGCCAAACAAACAGAACTGTTCCTAATATTTTTGCCAATAAGCTCCAACCGAATGACTCCCAATCCCAAAAGCCTCCAAAGAAAAACATTTCCAACTATTTCATCCGGTCGTCATAAAACTAATCTCTGTCTACATATCGCAGAACATGTTCCAATCGATCGTACGCGGTCATAAAAATCATACCACTAATTTCCTCTTGCTAGCACGACTTGGTAACATTGAAATAATGTATTCTCGCGTTTCATTTCATTTATCTGATCTTCCCCATTACGAGATATCCCCGGTAATAGCATCAGAGAGAGGCTGAGCGATCGCAGAGAAAGGACTTACACTTCTATTCGAATGTCCCTCGTCATAATTTCATATATCAGAATCCAGAGAAGGTCGGGGGCTGGCGACGTTTTCGCGAAAAGATCACATATAGGAACACGCAGCCGGGGTATAATGAGAGCCAGAAAGCGTCAGCGGCATCTAATGTCGGAAATTATAGCATATTGCCAATAAAATCCGGACCAGGGTCCGCCCTTGTACGAGCCAACTAAACAGGTTTCTCCTGCTCTTCGGGGGCGGCGAGCTTATTGTAACGAACGTCGGAACCACGTTTTGCCATTACACAAGATCTCGTCTCGGGGGAACGACCGATACACCGATAATACTGCGAGTCGATAACTCGGTTACAGCTTGATGCTCCTCTTTCCTTCTGTCTAATTCGACCCGCGAGTCGGGAAAAAGGGAACAACACCGATTGTATCTTTTTCTTTTATATCCTTTATTTAACACACGCCTGATATAAAACAGAATTATCTGAAAAGTAAACGCTGGAAGAAGGGTAAGTGATTGTGTGAACGTGTCGCGAAGAAAAACTGTTTCTACAGGTATCTGTTAAATTAAAAGTTTCAATTTTTTTAGAGGATGTAAATGTAAGATGTTTACTTTGAAAAAATTTGAGAAGAAAGGTGAAAGTCGTGTTTATATTCTGTGAAAAAATTGAAATTTTTTGACTGATAGTTACCTATGAAAAAATTCACAAAATTTTGCTTATTTTTGAATGCCTTGGTGTACCACTTTAAACACGTGATTACACAGATATATGGAGCCATAGTAATTTGTTGATTTGAAATGATTAATAATTATTAAACACTAAGCTTTTTTTAACATATATTTGTGAATCAAGCTTCCCTTGGTACGAAGTTTACTGAAAAATAATAAAATAAAAGTTTGAGTCTAAGAATCATATCATATGAGTTGTCTCAGAATCCTGTCCAAAATAACACACAGTTAAGCTGAAAGATGCAAGATGGAGAAAACTCCTATTCCCAAATTGCAAATTTATTAAGTAAAAGCAAGTCAATTGTACAATACGACAATAAAGAAGCTACGTAAAGTTTAAAATCGAAGACTGACGAAGTACATATGTGCTTCTGTAACTCACTGTAACTCATACGTAGTATCTACAGACATTTCAATTGCACGAAGAATTATCGTGTCTCAAAAAATCATTTTAAACGAGGACCATTCACTTGATATAGAAGATCCATTTTCGCATTGCTTTTTCGAACTTTCATCCAACCAGACATTCTTTCCTGTCTTGGAGCATTCTTCGAGCCAATTGATTCGCAAATGTCAAAGCAGTCGAAGGCGTCGCTTTTAGTCTGACACATGACCGAATTCTTCTCTATCTAAAGAGTTTAAAAAAGAAGGATTAATGTGTTTATAAGAATCTACTAAGTTCTTCTCATTTCACCCCTTTCGTGACTAAAGTATTTTCTTTTAATTTGTGATTTATCTAGCGAATATCACGAAAGGGTTAATTAAATCACCTAAATTTTCGATTTTTTCAATTGTCTCCAATGTGGCTATAATGAAATTTGGAAATTAAATTCACGGATATGAGTGTGTGTAAATATGTTTTAAAGAAAATTTGTTAATTTACAAACGTACTGCACATGACTCTTCAGTTTTGCACGTGCTATTCGTATCCAATTCTCCATTCTTAATCGAACATTCCGAATTCAAAGACGATTCGACAATCGACCACCCAGAATGTGACGAAGACGACTTGACAATCGACCATCCAGAAACTGTCGAAGACGATTTCTCATCGAGAGAGGACATCGGTTTCTGTATTTGAGAAGGCACAGATTTCTCGCGTTTCCTGTGCGAAAATTTTCGACACTTCCTCGTGACATTCGAAAACAGTAATTTTTGCAACTTTATCACTCGTTCCTTCTTCTTCCCAATCTCAACTCGCAGCTGCTGTACCATACACTCGTACTTCTTTATCAAATCATTTCGATGCTTTCTTATCAAGTCTGTCTCCAATTCGTTCTCAAACAACTGCAATTTTAACTTGCAAAACTCCTCTCCTTTCTCCTCCGTTTGCTCGTGAACCTGATTCAACGACGACGTTAATTGCAACTGAGGATCCTGAATCTCTTCGTTACACGTTTCTTCGTCCTCAGAGTACGCCAGCTTTTCATTCACAGTCTCGTTCGATCGGACAATTTCCTCGCCGAAAAATTCCACGTTTTCACTATCGTTTCTAATATCCACTCTCAAAGACACCAGCTCGTCGTCCCTGTTTCGAATCTCCCTCGAGAGTCGCTGTAATTTCATCTCCAACTTCGACTGAGCCTCCAAATGTTCCTGCAACCGTTGTTGATAATTCTTCTTCTCTTCTTCAGACTTTTCGAAAACGATCTCCAGTTCCTTACTGAAAAGATCACCTTCCATCGATCCTCTCTTGTCCGCCTCGTTCACTTCCCAAGCTTTCATCAACAGTTCCTTCTCCAGCGTGTCGATTTGAGAAACGTGCTCAGCTTTGCACTTCGCGAACGATCTCTTCATCTTCTTGTAACGAAGATCGAACAGGGACAATTGGTCCTCGATGTGGACACACTTCTCCAGAGAATCTTCCAGTCGTTTCACGTTCTCGACTTTTCTGTTGACTGGCTGGTTCGTTTCAGTCAGTGTTCTCGTTTTTCCCTTATCTTTGTCCTCTATTTTACAAGCGTCACTGTTACAATCGTTCAGACTGATCGATTTCTGACTTCTGCTGCTGAAATCGATGCCAGAATCCTCCTTCATGTTTCCACTGTCGCTGGATCTGAAGGTGCAGCAGTCGATGCCTGCATCGGTACTGTTCAAAGACACCTTTTTACTGTCGTAATTGAAACAGTGCTCGGCTTTAATGTCCACGTGAGCTTGGGTCACCAATTCCGCGTCGTCTATGCAGTCGTCGTAGAAGAAATCATCGTTGCAAAGTGAATACTTCGGTCTAGCATAGTCGACCTTACACTTCGCTATTTTAGCTAGCTCCTCCTTGAGTAATTTCACCTGATCTTGCAAGGTACAGACGAAATTCTTATTTTCCGCAGCTTCATCCTCGAAATCTTTCAATCTACTCTTCGTATCGCCAAATTCTTTCTCCATTTCCATGGATTTCAAGGCAGTCTTCACGCAATTGCTTCTAGCCTGACACAGCTCCCTCTCTAAAACTTCCACGTTCCTTGTTTTCTCGTCGAACACACGTTTCAGCTCACGAATCAAGCGACCGGAGTTACTCGTGTCGTCCTGCTTCCTCGAGGATAACTCGGGAAAGCATATTCGCAAGGAATCGTGAAAATCCCTCAGTTTCTCTTTCACCAAAGTCAGCTCGAAATTGCACTCATTCTTCTCTGTGCAGAGCAGCTTGTTCTCAGTTCTCAGGTTTTCTACAGTTTCCCTCAGAACAACCACTTTCGACGTGATCATCGAGTTCTCAGTTTCGAGCTCCTCGTAGATCGATCGAATTCCATCGGAATTCTCGTTCCTCTTGCGTTTCTTGTTGCACACGATGCTGTCTATACGCTCCTTGTAAAACGTCTCCACCTGCTTCACCGACCACTTCAACAAATCTCGTCCTTCGTCTTCGACGTCCTGCACACGCTTCTTCCAAGAGTTCTCCAGCCCTTCGATGGCTATCGAATACTGGTCCGCCATCTCCCGTCTTATCTCCAGTTCTCCATACAAACGACGGCATTCCGAAGTCTCCAGATCTTTCATCAATTGCACGTTCATCTCTCGCAATTCGTCGTAATCGACAAAAGTACCTTCTGTCTGAGTCTCCTTCGCAATCTTTCCCCTCGCAGCTTCAAATTCCACCGTTGACTCAATACTTTCCCGAAGAACAGGTCTTCCAGGCTCCTCAAAGTCGACAGTTGCACAATTTTCTGGACCTGATGCAGTAGAAGTTAACAGAGAAGTCACGTTTCGTCCCAACCTCCTAGCAACAGCTGAGACGTTCAGAACGCTCAAAGTTTCCGGGAAAGATTCAGCCGTGGTGTCGATAGTCACGACGAAGCTCACTTTCTGCTGTCCCGTCAGAGGCTTCTGAAGGATCCTCGTCAGCTTCGACTCGCGAAACGGTCCAATAACGTCGTCACCAGTAGAAGAATGGCTATCGTTGACTGCCTTCAAACATCTACCGAGCACAAACAGGCTCTTGTTTATACTGCGAGATTCCATCAACCTGACACCTGGTTCTTCGTCCCTCTTCAAACGTCTGGAAGCAGCCACGTCGCAGAACGTCAACGTGCTCAGTTGCACCTCGTCAGGGACACTCTCCTTTTCGTATCTGAGAAGTTTCGCCGTGAGGAAGGTGTGAGACCGTGAACTCGAGGCGTTCGCTGCTGTCGAGGCCACGGACATCCTCGACCGGGCAGAGACCAGCAACTGGAAGACCTCAAGAGCTGCGGTGACGTGCACGGATCTCAAACTGTTCACGCGAGTCGAGCCGTCTTTGTGCGTGGTCATCTTCAACGGACGCCTCTGTGCATCGTCGAGGATCAGTAGATCGTAGACGTTGTCGTTGTAGACTTCGGCGATCGATATCCAGACGGAGGAGAGACAGGAAAATTCTGCCTCTTTATTTCGGATCTCCGCGGTGCGTTTGTGCTCGCCTAGAGCCACGATACGATTGTCGTCTGTGAGCTTGTACCAAGGTACCAAGGTGCAGTTTATCACGGAGAAGAGAAGGTCTAAGGCGCGGGGAACGATACCAGGCGAGTCTGGTGTCCCGTACATCGTGTACGTTTTCCCGGAATTAGACGGCCCGTAGGTCAAAACCGTCGAACTTTCGCCGTAAAGGAAATTAATCACCTGCTGCCTTACAGCGTGATGGAATAACTCCTCTTGAGAGGAGTCTGAGTGAAAAATCTTGGTGAATGTGAACCTCTTGTCCGGGTTCTCGTTCTTTTTTACGAGAAGAGTCGTCGCGTTTGTTACGGTGTAAATTTGTTCCTTAGGTTCTACGGTGTTTGGCCTTATTCTAAGGTACACGTTCGCCATTGGTGTGTAGTGCGACGATGTGTGACGGGATATCGCACTTTCGTCGCTCTTTGGAGAATTTGGGGAAGAGAAGCTTGTGGAGAGCATGTTCTAAAGAAGAACGGAAGTATAGAAATGTTGAAAGTGTAGAAAATTGTATAGATACACCAAGTATGTACTTGATTAATCTTGATTCACTTTGATTCTGTAAATGCTTGCATAATAGGTTATGCAATACGTCACCTCGGACGATCAGGTACGTGTGAACGTAACGCTGAAATTCCCCGGTATTGTAAATTGTTTTTTAGGTATTAACACGAGGGCTTCGTGGAATATTTCTTCAGAGTAATTGAGGTAATCTTAATTTTAAACGTGCACTGAAGAAACTTCACCATTTTAATATTTAGGTTTACTGAACGAGTCGAAGAAGGGTGAAACCTACTCGCGATAGTCGAACTTTTCTGTGAAGTTTGCAACATTTTGTAAGATTTTATTCTACACTAACGACGTCAATTCGTGTATACAGGGTTAAAATAAATTTTAAAAACATTTTTTCTCATGGAAGCCAAGGTTTCGAGGGAATTTCAAGATGACGAGCTTAGATTCTTTCAAGCTCATGTTCAATTCTTTTTATCTAGGACCCTATAACTCTGCATTAAAAAATTGAATATGATTTTGAACACTTATTTAAACAAAAAACATAGAAAAGATCCAAGGTCGTCAGCTTGAAGATCCTTTGAGACATTGATATTCTTGTTATCCAAATATCCAATATCCTTGGTATCCAAGAAACAACGATAATTTTTGAAGATTATTGGAAATATCGATATTTTTATGGAAACATTGATACAGCTACTATTAGTGTCGATTTAAGGTATAAAATTGAACTTAGAGCCATTAAGAGATAGAACCTGTCCCACATTATGCATTTCTAATCGTTTCTGGACAGAAATCTTGAGCCCCTAACGTTCGAGTACACACTTGAATAAATTCTAAGACAAAATGCAAGTTGTCGGTTCGCGACATTCAAATATCTGAATTAATCGAAAATAATGTTTTCCAAGCATCGTGCAAATTTCCGTAATAGCTGGGCGTCGCAACATCCATTACAAATCCCCATCGAGAACCATTTGTCCTACAATTGTTTCGAATAATTGACGTACAAGCGAGCTTTGAGAGCGACAGACGGCGAGGTAACGTAACATCCGCAACTGTGCGCCTCGAAATATCTTCAAAGTCGGCGGTAAGCGGCAATTTATATGCGTGTCGCTCGCCTCATTAAATGCAGCCAATCAAAGAGGAAGCTAATAGCTGCGGCTGGTCGTGATTCGAGATGGGCCGCACGCGATCCACGAAATCCGGCATAATCGGAATCGTATCGCAAGCACAAGTCGACCACTGTGCGCTAGAAAACGTCTCGAAGGGGCCACATTGTGGGATCGGCGGTGTCTTTCAAGCCACAATCGACCCCTTGTATCGACACTACCCGCCTCTCACTCTCTCCCGTTTCTTTCGCTTTTCGTCTTCGCCGCTGTCTTCACCGTGTACCGCCTCATCACACACGCCTCATCTTTCCTTTTCCATGTCTCGACCGCATCTTCTGCACAGTACCACCACTGCTGATCGCCCCCTTTTGCGTCCTTCGAACCAAACTACAGCGGTAGTTTCTTTTGCAGTTCTATGCACAAACCGGAGTCGAAAAAATGTCAATTCTTACATTTTCGGTTTATTTGTTTGCAAAAGTGTCGTATATTTGGTGACCGCCAATTTTTGGCTTACGACTTTCTGTACAATCCACCGGCTCATGAAAGTATCAAAAGAAGCAACGACTTCGAATAGCGACCGAATTTCTTTGCACAAAACCAGAATAAAGAAATGTCACTTTTTACATTTTCAGTTAATCTTTTTGCGAAATGTCGCATACTTGGTTACCACTAATTTTTGGCCTACGATTTTCTCTACAATCCTTTGGCTCATGAAAGTATCAAAAGAAGAAAAGACCTTGAACAGCGATCGAATTTCGTTTTGCAATTCTTTCCACAAACCAAAGTAAGAAAAATGCCACTGTTTACATTCTCGATTAATTTCTTTGCAAAGTATCGCATACTAGGTTACCACTAATTGTTAGCCCACGAGTTCCCGTACAATCCATTGGCTCATAAAAGCATAAAAAACGAAAGTGTCAACGGAAGAAAATAACGATTCCTCAGCTACGATGCGTACACAGTGTTGGTGGATGAAAAATAACAGCCATTGCCCGGGTCCCTTATATTGGGCGTTAATGTTTCCGCCACGGATTGATGTTCCACCTTTATGGGTTATTTATTTAATACTGACAAATTTCGCCTGGTACTCTCACCATTGGCACCCGACCACTTCTTTTATAGCGTCTTTAATGGCGCTGGAGAACGAAACCGTAGTCCGTGATTCGAAGGTCCTCCCTTTTCTTCAGTTATAGACCACCGATATACGAAGTGTGAACGGGTCAATCGGTATTTTAACACCATTGTAAGACTGACGATAAAATTTTGAATCGACAACGAAGGAACGTTGCGAAAGAAGAAATAATTGAAACGAACAATATAGAAAGGCTGTTAAACTCAACAGGAGTAGTATTTTCCGCGAAAAGAAAATCTTCATTTGCCTAACATAAGTGTGCACTTCTTAGCTCCTCATTTCCAAAGAAAATATTCTCGTGAGTGAAAGAATAATCTGAAACTAAAAGACGAGCCTATCGAAGAATAATTGAAAATTTGTGCAGAAACTGAACGAGAATAAAAACGTACTAGAAACTGCACACAGAAAGTAACATAATTCGACTGTCTATAAATTTGACTAAAGAATGAACTAATTAAAGGACTGAAAATTGAGCGAGAATAAAAAAATATTAGAACTGATAATTGACTCTGTAAGAGAATTTCTGTGAATTACCATGGTCGAATAGTGCTAAATTAAGTAAAGAAAGAGCAGTAAGATTGTGCACTTAATGTAATTTTGAAAAAAAAAGAAAATGGTTTGTGTTGCTCTGGCTTTGAAACACAGAGTTATCGTTCAGTATCTCGAATCTACTAAATCGACGCAAATAGTCTGGCAATTTCGTCCAGTTTGCCGAAAAATTTCATCGATCGTTCATCCGTGGACACAAGATATTCCAAGATTAGCAGTGGCAAAGCCCGGTGAACGTAGCCCAGCGTTAGAAGGCGGAATCCGCGGGAAGACGACGACGATCTCAAGGAGCTTGGGCGTTCCTCTTTCGAGATATTAGATTTATCCATTTGTTTGCCGAAAGTCTCATAAATATAAGCTCCCTTTGACAGCGTCCCACGGGTCTTATCCGACGCCATGATCTCGCGTGGGTGGCCGAGAGAAGATGAAACTGAAGCAGGAGGATAGACGAAAGAGGGAGGACAGGATCGGAGTAGGATCGATCCGAATACCGTTCTCGTTCCTCTCGCTGCCATCAGTATTCCCAATTAACAGCCGCTCCTTTCGGCCTCGAGCAGGGTGGGGGGAATTCAGGCTTACATTTATAAATATGACGATCGTAAAAGCAAGCCATTGCCGTTCGATGAGAGACGAAGAAGACTTCTCGAAGATCCACCTCCGGGAGGAGTATACAGGGAGCAACCTTATTGCGCGGCGGAACAGGCGAAATTGATGGCAACACTCCTTGCTGGGGTGGAAATTTTACGGATGGCGCCGGGCGCAATCTAAAGGGAATAATTAATGCCCGCTTCATAACCGTAAACTTATCGAACCGCTGTGATAGTCGTCGAAATCGCGACTGCTTTTCAAATACAAGCTGAACGTGATAGAAAATTCTCACCCTAATCCATTCAGGGGTTGTGTCTTTCTCGAGGAATTACATGGATTTTTCTCAGTTCTTTGTGTCTCAAGAATCTCATTTCAGACGAATGTTTCGAAAATTAATTTTTTAAATCCTAGGTAGATTCGAAGTACTGAAGTCTCTTATTGTGCTTCTATATCTCCTCATTCGATTAAGTTCTTTCGTAAATCTGACTTTAAATTGAAAAGTGACAGTGCAATGATAAGGGATCACAGTGTTTTACGATTTTTCATAATTTTCCAATGCATCAGTAGGAAAAGTTTTTTGGGAATGAGAAAGTTAACTTTAAACTACTATCTCGCGTGTCGGAGATCTTTAAATTTTATATCAACATTTTTCCATTTTTCAAGTTTTTAAAATTTCCTGAAGCCACAAATTTTTCTAATTCACCAGTTTCCAAAAAATTTCTTATAAAGAGTACTTTATCGCACGAAAAAATGTATGCAAACGCGTATATTCCTGTGGTATACTGTTCATAAATCATCGGCAAACGTTCGTTGAACTATAATCAGTGTTCATTAGCCGTACGAAAACGCGATTCCGGAGGATTTCTCCTACGGGGAGATCTTTTCAATAACTCTTGGTCGGGCCTGATAATTGGTGGCTGGCGATATCTCTCGTGGCAAAAAATTGCCTCGCAGCCCTTCACAATGTCGTATATAACAATATACCAGACTGTCTCGCCCTGACCGCCATAGATAGAGAAACATTAAGTGTCCTGGACACAAGCACGCGCCCCTGCACACACATAGCCATCGCGAAAGGGCAACGGATAGGAAACTGTACGTATCGTCAACGACAGCTAGCAGGGACGTCGAAGAAACGGGTCATAGACGGTTTGTATTGCAGCCACATTGGCTCCTCGCCCTTCTTTCTTTACGAATCTTCCTTAGCCAGTAACTCTCATTTTCCCATTATCACTTCGTATGTATCAATATAAGTGTCTCTACGATATATGACGTCACGTCCTTACAGCATTAACGAAAATAAATTTACCAAGTTCCCTCCTAACTTCTCCTTCCAAGTTTTCCAGTATAATCTACGATAAAAAACGAGACGAAAATGTCATACGGGCAAAGGTTGGTGGATCCTTTGTTAAAAAGTTGCAACGCTTTGAAATGTAAAGGGCGCAATTTCGTTGCGATTTAGACTAATTTTTTGAATACGTATTCACGTGACATTTTCAACTTACGTTTAATTGTAAAACAAGGTGGCGAAGTTCGTATGGAAACTTGTGGAACAGCCGGTATAGTAAGGAACA